TCCCATTTTCTTTTTCCCAAGAATTGCTTTAGCTATTCGTGGGGGTTTATTGTTCCATATAAATTTCAGGAGTGTTTGCTTCATTTCTTTGAAGAATGTCATGGGTATCCTTATAGGAATTGCATTGAATTTGTACAGTGCTTTCGGTAGTATTGCCATTTTGACAATGTTAAGTCTCCCGACCCATGAGCAGGGGATGTCTTTCCATTTCCTCATGTCCTCTTTTATTTCCTGAAGTAGCGTTTTGTAGTTTTCTTTGTACAGGTCCTTTACTTCCTTAGTTAAGCTGATTCCTAGGTACTTGATTTTCTGGGGCACAATTGTGAACGGGATTGATTTTTTCATATAGCTTTCCTCTCTCTCACTGTTTGCGTATAGGAAAGCCATGGACTTTTGGGTATTGATTTTATAGCCTGCAACTTTACTATACAAGTCTATTGTTTCTAGGAGTTTTTTGGTGGAGGTTATTGGGTTCTCTAAGTATAGTATCATATCATCTGCGAATAGTGAGAGCTTGATTTCTTCCTTTCCTACCTGAATGCCCTTAATATCTTTTTCTTGCCTAATTGCTATTGCAAGTACTTCCAGTACTATATTGAACAGCAGTGGAGAGAGTGGGCATCGTTGTCTCGTCCCTGATCTTAGAGGGAAGTCTTTCAGTTTTTCCCCATTGAGGATGACGCTTGCTGTAGGCTTATGGTAGATGGCTTTAACTATGCTGAGGAAAGTCCCCTCTATACCCATTTTGGCTAGGGTTTTCATCATAAAGGGGTGCTGGATCTTGTCAAATGCTTTCTCTGCATCTATTGATATGATCATATGCTTTTTATCTTTTCTTTTGTTGATATGATGGATTATGTTGATTGATTTCCGAATGTTAAACCATCCTTGCATCCCTGGGATGAATCCTATTTGGTCATGGTGTATGATCTTTTTGATGAGTAGTTGGATTCTATTTGCTAGTAGTTTGTTGAGGATCTTTGCATCTGTGTTCATCAGGGATGTCGGCCTGTAGTTCTCTTTCTTTGTGTTATCTCTGTCTGCTTTTGGTATCAGTGTGATATTTGCTTCATAGAAACTGTTCGGAAGTGTATTTGATATTTCAATTTCATGGAAAAGCTTAAAGAGGATTGGGAGTAAGTCTTCTTTAAAGATTTGGAAGAATTCACTGGTGAATCCATCCGGGCCAGGACTTTTGTGCTTGGGGAGACTTTTTATTACCATTTCAATTTCCTTGATGGTGATAGGTCTGTTCAGGTATTCCAGGTCTTCTTGGTTCAACCTTGGGAGTCTGTAGGAGTCTAGGAATTTATCCATTTCTTCGAGGTTTTGATGTTCCGTGGCATAAAGCTTCTCAAAGTACTCCCTGAGGATCCTTTGAATTTCTGTAGTTTCTGTTGTAATGACCCCCTTTTCATTTCTGATTCGGTTTATTAGGGTTTTCTCTTTCCCTTTCTTTGTGAGTTTTTCTAGGGGCTTATCGATTTTGTTAATTTTCTCAAAGAACCAGCTCTTGGTTTCATTGATCTTTCGGATTGTTTTCTGGGTTTCCATCTCGTTAATCTCTGCTCTGAGTTTTATTATTTCCTTCCTCCTGTTCGGGTTGTGCTCCTTTTGTTGGTCCTTCTCCAAGTTCTTAAGCTGTGAGGTTAGTTTATTTATGTGGGCTCGCTCCTCCTTTCTGAGGAATGCTTGTAGAGCTATAAACTTTCCTCTTAAGACCGCTTTTGCTGTGTCCCATAAGTTTTGGTAACTCGTGTCCTCATTTTCATTCGTTTCTAGGAATCTTTTGATTTCCTCTTTAATTTCCTGTCTAAGCCACTCGTTGTTTAATAGCGCACTGTTTAATTTCCATGTGTTTAATTTAGTTTTCTGTTTTTGTGTGTGATTTACTTCTAATTTCAGCGCATTATGGTCTGAGAAGATTGCTGATATAATCTCTATCTTCTTAATTTTATGGAGGCATGTTTTGTGGTTCAGCATGTGGTCTATCTTGGAGAACGTTCCATGTACGCTTGAGAAGAATGTGTATTCAGCTTTTTGTGGATGAAGTGTCCTGTATATAGCTACTAAGTCCCTTTCTTCCATTGTTTCCCTCAGATGAAGTATGTCCTTGCTAAGCTTGAGTCTGGTTGATCTATCAAGAGGTGACAAAGCGGTGTTGAAGTCTCCCACTAGTATTGTGTTGCTATAGATGTCTTTTTCCAAATCTATGAGTAATTGTTTTAAGTACTTTGCTGGTCTCTCATTAGGTGCATATACATTTATTATTGTAAGTTCTTCCTGTTGTACAGATCCTTTGGTCAATAGGAAATGGCCTTCACTCTCTCTTATGACCTTCTTCACTCTGAAATCGATGTGGTCTGATATTAGGATTGCTACCCCAGCTTTTTTCTGGGAGCTGTTTGCCTGTAGGATTGTTTTCCAGCCTTTGACTCTGAGTCTGTGTTTGCTTTGACTATTGAGATGTGTTTCTTGCAGGCAGCAGAATGTTGGGTTCAATTTTCTAATCCATCCTGCCACTCTATGTCTTTTAATTGGTGCGTTTAGCCCATTGACATTGAGAGAGATTATTGTTATGGGATTTTGTCCCATTGTTCCATTGAAATTTGGTGTATTTGAGAGGCCTGTCTTGCCTTAAAGTAGCCCATTTAGTTGTACTCGTAACCATGGTTTTGAGTCTATGAAGTTCCTGAGCTGTTGTTTGTCTGTGAAACTGTGTGTTGTTCCTTCTATTATGAATGAGAGTCTCGCTGGGTAAAGTATTTTTGGAGAAGCATTTATTTCATTGAGTTTTTTCACTATGCCCCACCACTGTTTTCGGGCCCTGAGGGTTTCATCAGAAAAATCAGCTGTGAATTTTAAGGATGCTCCTTTGTAAGAGATTTCTTTCTTCGATCTTGCTGCTTTCAGAATTTTGTCTCTGTCTAAAGTTTTGGTCATTTTGATCAGGATGTGTCTTGGGGTATTTTTATTCGGATTTCTTCTAGCCGGTACCCTTCGGGCCTCCTGGATGTGGTCACAAGTTTTCTTCAGCTCTGGAAACGTTGTAGCAATGATTTCTTTGACAGTTTCTTCTTCATCAAGGTTTTCTTCCCGTCCCTCTGGGACTCCAATAATTCTTATGTTACCCCTCTTGGCTTCATCACGATCTTCTCTTGCCATCTGTTCTCGAACTGTGAGTCTCTTTTCCATTTTCTGCTCTTTTCTGACAAGACTCTGAACTTGATCTTCGAGCTCACTGATTCTGTTCTCAGCCGCTGTTACTCTACTGCTGAGGCCTTCCACTGTGGTTTTCAATTCGGCTACCAGGTTTTTCAGTCCGACATTTCCGATTGCATTTTCCTCATTTCTGCCTTCAAATCCTCTTGTCTTTTATTGGCATTGGTTTCCATTGTTTCTTTTAGTTCCCTAAGCATCCTGAGTAGCTCCATTCTGAATTCCTTGTCAGAGAGGTTGTCTAACGCTATAGTACTGTTGGTGTCTTCTGGGCTAGCCTCGTGAATAAGAAAGTTTGGTGGGCTTTTGCGTTACTTTACCATTGTGACCAGTGTGGTTTGGTCCTTCACACTCGCTGCTACTGTTCTGGTTGAGTGAGGAGAGACTGCCAGGAGCCGTTCAGCTTTGTTGCTGCTAGATGCGCCTCTTCTACCTTTCTGTCTGACCTTCTCAATCAGGCGTTATTCTTTGTTTTATAACTGACATTGAGTGAAACTTTTGGAGGAGTTGCTATTTACTACTGAGCTTGTATAGCTATTTTCAAACAGAACTTTTGTTGGAAATGGAGTAGGAGAGTGGGATTTTGTTGAATTGTAGTAGAAGAGGTGAGAAATTTTGGTTGGTATTAGGTAACAAGTTGATGAAAAGGATGAAAGGATGAAGGTCCAACTTGCTTAGAGTGAGTGATATACCTGTGGCCACGTAAGCGCCGCCCGCCTGGAAGCAGGACACGCCCCCTTCTTAGAGGCCACGCCCCTAGCCAGTCCCAGGCCACTCCCTCCCAGGATCATGGGATTCGCGCTGTCCTCCTGCGGGGCTCGCTCCGCAGGCTGTGCGTGTGGGGTCAGGGGCGGGGCTCCGCTGGGGTCCTCCAACCCACCTGGATGGGGGGGGGGCGGTGGGCTGCTGTGCGTGCCTGTCTGGAGCTGGACGCGCGCTGGGGCCTGGGGTCCGCGCTGTCCTCCGGCGGGGCTCGCTCGGCCTCCTAGCCATTTCTTGAGCTATCCCTATGACAGGCACTCAATAATGATTTTACATTGCATGTTATAGATAATTTGCTAAAACGATGATCCAAAAATGGTTTCTTAGAAGAAAGTAATCTCACCTTGGAGCCCTTGGACCCTTGTATAAAAGATTACTAAGAAGTTGTTATACCTTACGACTTCTGTGTTTATATTTTGTTAATTAAGATTGGTTGCTTCTGTATTCCATCCCATCTAATCTGCTATGCTCTCCTGATTTATCAGTGTTACAGAGTTTGAGATGTCAGGGCTGGAGTGATAGTACAGCAGTTAGGGCATTTGCCTTGCACGTGGCCTACCCACGTTCAATTCCCAGAACCCCATATGGTCCCCTGAGCACCGCCAGGAGTAATTCCTGAGTGCAAAGCCAGAAGTAACCCGTGTGACCCAAAATGCAAAAAAAAAAAAAAAAAAGAGAGAGAGAGAGAGAGATGTCACATGGCTACATTTCTGGATCAGGCTTATCTGAGCAGCGGAGTCTAGCTGGGAGCACAGTGACAATTGTGGAATATGGAGGTTTTCAGCTGCTGCTGCTCTGTTTAGGTGGGTTCGGGGGACGCACCCATCCCTCCTTCCCTTTCTGGTTGCCCAGGGTCAACTCAGCTTTATGAGGGATCTGGGAGAAATTCTGCCACTTGCAGATCCCTTTTGGGATTTATGTCTGAGTCTTTGGAGCATGGTTGGTGAAAGAGCCTACATGGCACTTGCAAATCTATGCCATTTTTCAGGAATCCATACATGCATATTGATGATCACAAGTGTATCTAGCATTAGTTTTAATTAAAATACATGAAAACTTTGTTACAGTTGTTATAAGTAAAAACATTGACTTTTATATAATATTTAAATTCACATAACAATCTGTGCTTTGGCCAGAGAGAAGATAGTACAGCAGGTAAGGTGCTTTACTTACACGTGATAGATCTGGATTCGATCCCCTACACCACATATGGTTCCCTAAGACTTTCAGGAGTGATCCCTGAGAAAAGAGCCAGGAGAAGCTAACTCTTACCTGAACACTGCTGGGTTTACACCGAAAGCAATAATAAAAAAAAGTTATCCTATACTTAAATGCATTAAAATTTTTTTCATAGATTATACATTTTCCAGAATATATTATATGTGATTTTGTACATTTCTGTACTGTGATACAGTTGCCACTGTGATGATAACACCTCTACAAAGGCAAGTAACTAGATTTTTTGTTCAGGTGGGAGTAATTAAGATCTAGTTTTTCTTAACTAACTGATGCTATAATGATATTGTTATCTATATTCATTATCCTGTATATAGTATTATAAGATTTATTAATGTGTAGTTGCCAAAAAATGGGTCTTCTAGTACTCCCAAGCAAAAGTCAAGCTAATACTTGGCCCATTAGAGTTCCTCCATAATCCAAATCCAGTTCTTTATCTGGACTTTGGTTCACCTCTTTGCCAAATCACTCAAATACTTGAATGTTACTGACTGGAAGAGTTCAAGCTTCCTTCCACCTGTCCTGGAGACATTGTATTACAGTTCCTCAATTCTCAGATAAAAATGCTAAAGGACCAAGGCTTTCAGAGTCCATAACATTCTCAGAGCAGGTTATTGGTAACTGCTTTTGTTCATTATACTGCTGGAGGAATTCCAAAAGTTCCAAAGTCTGAGAATCCATTCTATTTGCTTTACACCTATATTGAGCAATTTTCTGCAGTTTGCTTTTCATCTTTTCTTTTTCCTTTGATTCATGGTTTATTTTCACACCCTCCATATAGTGGTGGATGGCCTTATCTTCACACCTCATTTGATGGAACTGAAAGCTGCCATATTGTATATGGAGCTTTTGTTTGGCTAAAGGAGTAAGCTCTTTGCTGAACTCTTGTTGATAATAATGATCTGCTTCTTCATATTCACCTGCTATTGCATAGAGGCCAGCAAGATACATATTGACCCAGGAAAGATTTTTACTTCTTCCATGAGCTTTTTTAAAATGACTTATAGCTTGTCTTAATAGGTACTTGAACTTCTCACTTCCCCGATACATCTTACTGTCTCCCATGACTATCTGAAGGACTTTTGATCTATAGCAGAGCCCAATATTGTAATGCAGTTGGGTATTACTTGGTGTGTCTTCTAAAGCCCTTTCAAGAAGATCTATAGCTTTATCCATGTCCCACATGTTTCGATAAAATTTGGCTGCACGTTCAAGCACATCTGGGGCACATGGGCCGTTCTCTAAGGCTTCTTCAACAAGCCTCTTTCCTTCACCTTCTTTATTAATATCCTGAAGTTTCAGAGCCAGAAGTATTTTAATATACTGGTTGTAGGGATTCAATTGAACAGCTTGTATAAGAGAGTCAACAGAACTTTCAGTAGGAGGACTGTCTTCCAGGCGGTAGGTTGCAATTGCAAGTCCACAAGTGAATTCTGGGTTATTTGGCTTCTTTTCAAGGGCCTTTTGAAAACACACCATGGCCCATGAATTTTTATTTTCACCACACTTTAGCCGGGTCCATCCTTCCTCACTGTCCACCTCAGCACTTTCAATTTTATAGGGACTAGAAAACTTCTCACACACCTGTTTCACCTTGTCAACATAAACCTGCACTTCTGGGAGTCTGCCCAGGTGATAGTAGACCCAGGCATAGTTTCCCCAGGTCACTAGACTTCTGATTTCTGCTTGGTCAACATGCTCTTGCTGGACTGACTCTTCAGCTTGCTGTAAGCATTCCAGCGCAGCCTCATTTTGACCTCTGCGGTGTTTTATGTAGGCCAACATGTTGTATGCTGTAGTTTTGAATACACTGGTCTGGACCATTTTCTCATTACACACTCTGTATTCAAAATCATCCCAGGAATCTTCTTCCTCCACCAAGTTCCAGGTGAAATGGCATTTTAGCTGCCGGAGGCTGTTTTCCAAGGAGTGCTTCCTGGTCTCACTGTGGGAAAAGTAGAAAAATGGTGAAATTGAAAATGGTGAAATTAAAATTTCTGGTACTAATCCTTGAGGCAGTTTTTAAAGAAGTTTTTGTTCCTATTTCTCGTTCTTATTTAAAGTTAACTTTCATATCCTGAAATTTTTGGCTTTATACTTTTTTGTACTTTTAACAATCTCGTTATTCATCGATTTGCTCTAGTGGGCCCAGTAGCGTCTCCATCATGAGACTTGTTGTTACTGTGTTTGGCACATTGAATACATCATGGGTAGCTTGCCAGGCTTTGCAGTGCGGGCAAGATTCTCTCGGTAGCTTGCCAGGCTCTCGGCTCTCTTGCCGCACCGCAAAGCCTGGCAAGCTACCCGTGACGTATTCAATATGCCAAACACAGTAACAACAAGTCTCACGATGGAGACATTACTGGGCCCACTAGAGCAAATCAATGAACAACGGGAGGACCGTGCTACCATGCTAACAGTCTCATCCTAAGTTTAATCTTCTTATCTCCCCTATTATCTTTCTAAAATTCTGTCTGAAATTCAACTTCTATGGTTTTCATTCCTTTGTTCTCCTCAATTTGCTGTTCCATGTTTTTCATTTTCCATTTTGTATTTAATTAGAGCTACTCCTGTATCTTTTATTTGCTCTTTATCTAAACTGTTTTTCCCCCTCAAATATGTTTTATTTTGATTCTGATATTCTATAGTCTCATTTCCCCCCCCCATGTTTCCATTTTAACCATTTAAATCTTTTAACCATTAAACCAATCAACCATTTTCAATCATTCTGCATGTTTAATCATTTCCCCCTGCTTTTGTATTTTCTACCTTTTCATGTTTTTATTCTTTTTTATTATGCTTTCATTCTTATGTAAGCAACATCTTGAAGGTTTAATTTGAATAAAATAGAATTGCTTTGCTATCCTTAACCCCATCCCCTACCCACAGCCAGTCAATCCCTTTATTTACTTTTCAGACTGGAAATTTTGCACGTGTGGTACAGAGGATGAAACCCAGGGCCTTACATGCAATGCTGGTGCTCTACCACCAAGTTACATCCCCGGCCTATAATTTCTACTTTTTATTTTGTTTTGTGGCCATACCTGGTGGTTCTCAAGGCTTATTCCTGGTGTCTGTGCTCAGGGTTGGTCTTGGGGGACCATTAGGGTGCCAGGAATGGAATCCAGGTAGACCCCATGCATAGCAAACGTTGCACTGTCTACTGTTCTTAATAGGTTTCACTGACTTGATTATTAATAATTTTGCATTTGTTTGAATTTTCTTTGAGAACTTTTTCTCCTGCCCCCTCCAGGGTTTGCTTGCATAATGAACTTCAAAGGCCATCAGCACCTTTTCTTGGAGGAAATACTCTTTCCTTGGGCCTGTCTTCTTAACTCTTCTGGGAATATTTCAATTTCTTTCCCTTTTGATTCTCAGAATAAGTAATAAGCAAAGAAGTGAAAATCATCTAAGAAAACAGAATGGTAAATAAATAAATAAATAAATAAATAAAATTAGCACAGTGGTAGGCCATATTGCCTTGCACACGGTGGACCCGGCCGAGCCAGGTTTGATTCCTTCGCCCCTCTTAGAGAGCCCAGCAAGCTACCGAGAGTGGCAAGCTACCCGTGACGTATTCAATATGCCAAACACAGTAACAACAAGTCTCACAATGGAGACGTTACTGGGCCCGCTTGAGCAAATGGATGAACAATGGGAGGACAGTGACAGTGACAGTGATTTACTGAATTTATTGTGGTGCCTGAGATGAAACCCAGGACCTCACACCTGCTGAGTGATATCCATGACTCCACAATTCTATTTGGAATAACTTCAAAGATGAAGCGGTTAAAAGCATTCATTACCCAAAATTGTTTTTATTTTTTTCTATTACTTATATAGTGGAATTCCTGAAATGTTGCCTTGTCTCACTTACAGTATCTTCTCCTGGTATATGTTAACCAGCCTACTTTCCAAGAGCAAATAGTTTAAATAGTATGGATTTTGACACAGTCAATAATGATCTGGAAAACTATGTAGTGTGTCAAGGATTCACTTAGATTTACGTGCCCAAATGAAAAAAAAATATTCTCCTGTTTACCATCTGTCCAGATCTTTCAGTTTTCATACCTATTCAAATTTAAGGGACATTGACATGAAACATGATATGAAGGAGCATAAGAGAGTTGAAACCGGTCAGGCTGAGCACTATGCTCACTGAGGGTCCGAGATGCCTCATCTGTCACACATTGCAGAGAGAAACCCGATGCACTTGGAGACAACAGAGTCGTAATCCCCCAAAGTTTCCGTCCTGAAGTCAAACCCCCTGAGCGTGAGGGTTTTGGGATCCACACCTGGAACTTTCAGTCATTCCTGTTCATCTCTGTAAGTTGAAACATTTCTTAAGGGAAGACTTAATGACCTCAAGTAGAACAAACGAAAATTAGGAGGGAAATGCTTGGGAATTCTATTCAAGGATGTACCTTTGATCCCTTCCAAGCCCTGGGCAAAGGGCTGGAGACAAAGTGTAAGAGTTAAGGTACCTGCCTTCATGAGCTGATGCTTGGGCTCAGGGGAGTAGCCCTAACACTGCTGGGTGTGGCCTAGTCCCTTAAACCCCCAAATTTCCTTGCAAAATTAAATGAAAAGCCAGACAGTCTGACTCCCTCTTGCTTTTACTGTGATGGGAACCTAGAAGGTATCTTCCTTCTTGAGGCTATGGCAAAACACCTTAGTGCATGAACTCTTCAGCTCCTTTCTCATTTTGTAAGAGAATCAGAGCGAGTGAATACAGTTGAGATCTTCTCCACATAGAAGGCATAGACAGTGCCAATAGTGAGTTGGCACAACAAGGACCTTTCGTGTGTACACGTTTTGTGTGTACAGAAATTCCCTCTGAACAGTCATTCCAAAGTATCCAGTTTCTGTGTGTGATATGTGTAGGATAACATTGGCTTGTCCTCTCTGCCTTGCCACAGGGAGCTTAGATTTATTTGGTTGCTCCCATCACAGTGCTCCCAATCCTCTGTGTTTATTTGTAACTTCTTTCTTTGTGCTCTGTTGACTTGCAAATATTGTTTTTCTCTTCTCCTTAAGTCCTTTCAATAGTTAATTCAGAGCAATGTCCTATTTGTATGGGCACAAAGAAGACAGTTAATGCTTTTGTAACTTGGGAGTTAATTAACTATCAATGATATTTTCCTCCTGGGCATCTGTTCTCTGGACTTAAGCCTCAATATCTCTTACTTCCTAGAACCCCAAAAGCAGGGTCCCGAAAAGGGACTAGGTAGACCCAGGGTAAGCAATGAGCTATGTGCTACCCTGGCATAGGAATGGGCCTGGCCAAAGTGCCATAATGCTTAACTATGAGTTAAGAGCATGGTCATTGACATATTCTGTCATGATCCAAAATGTAATAACTAGATTCGGACCCTACAAGGGTTGGGAAAGATTAATCTGCACTGAGCACTGTAGTCTGAGTCTGTGGCAAGATGTTCCCAGGAGAGCTGCCCTACAAGCCTCAATGTATCTCTTATCGTGTCCATGCAAAAATAACTAATATTAAGAAGTAGAGCTAAGATGCTAATTAAATTATTGGACTAAGGAGAAGAGAAACACCCCTACATGTATTTCCACCCTTGAGCCTGATGAGCAGTCAGGAAGGGCTTTCTTATGTTGATTTTGCTACCAGATGGGGTATAAGCTCCCAGTGTTGGGTGTGGAGAGTCAAGAGAGTTGGAGGAGAGGAGAGAGAGAGCAGGGCAGCAAGATGGAGCACTGAGAGATGAGCAAGACAGACAGAAGGAGATGTTCCCATGAGAGGCAGTGTGAAATTAGAATAGGGGCTCAGAGAGACTGAAACAGGCATGTGGGGAGAATGAAATAAACTGCAACTGACCACAAACCAGCTTGGCCCTCGTTTTCTCCTCCGTCTGCCCCATGGGATGGGCCGCCCCAGCTGGGCGAGCGGCTTGAGACCACTCCACCCAGGTGGCAAGGGGGAGAGTCGTTGGATTATGCAATATGGAAAACCAGAAGCTGGTCTCAGATATTCACTTCTCCGACTCAGCTTATGAGACTAATGTTCCTGGTGCTTCCTCAAGTTGCAACCATTTCTACAAGTGTTTTCCCTGCATCTGGTCCTCAGGGAATGCTGCCCTCCTGGGGGCAGTGTCTGCACTAGAGAGCATTGTAGGGAAGCACCTCCTTAGACCCCAACTCAGGCTTGCCATGGGGATGGGGCCCAGGAGTCTCTCTAGCAGCTCTCTAAGGTGTTTGTATACAGGAGTTTTTGAGAGCCATTGTCTTAGAGCTGATGGGCACCGAGCCAAAGAATCAGGTACACAGGGACTGGTGAATCTGTGGAGCCTGCTGAATTCTGAGAAATAGGGACACAGCTAGAAATAGGGACACACTATCTAGACACAGATAGTGAGACTAGAGAAACAGGCATTTGCAAATATGTCAAATGCTTTTCATAAAAGCAATCAGGTTGTCATGTAGACTTACAGGAAAGGATATTGTTCTAGGGGTTGGAATGATAGCACAGTGGGTAGGGCGTTTGCCTTGCATACCGCTAACCCAGGTTCTATTCCCAGAATCCTATATTGTCTCCCGAGCACCGCCAGAAGTAATTTCTGAGTGCAGAGACAAGAGTAACTCCTGAGCATTGCTGGGTGTGACCCAAAAAGAAAAAAAAAGAAAAAGATATTGTTCTAGGAAGAAAGACAAGTGAATTTACAGGTGGTCAATGTGTGGTCTAGAATGTAAATATGAACCGGGGCAAATACCCCTGGATTCTCAAGCTTCGAACCAAACCTAAATGTGATACCTCGTCTTCTATCCTCAAACTGGAGGAAATATAAAGGTCCCTTAGGACCCGGTAAGCTAACATTTCCTCCCCAGGGCAATCTTTTTTTTTTTTTTTATGGAGGGTAGGTTGAGAGAATTTTAGGGAAACTACTTTCTACACTCCATATCCAGTTCACATGTCTGTTAGGACAACTCTAGTCAATCAGTAAAATTTGGAGGTAAAATAATATTTGTTATTTTCCCAGCCCTAATGCATATCTGAGATGAATAATTACATTGGAAGTAAAATCCAAGGCTAGGGAGATAGCTCACAGGGCTGGAGAACATTCTTTCCTCTCTTGGTTCTCAGCACTCAACTTCCCTGTGAGAGATGCTCTTTGGAAGCTGGACTGTGTGAAGGAAGCAAAGATAACAGAGGCACTGCCTGTCATTGACAATCAATAAAAGGTACAGGCTAAGGCTATAAAGATTAAAGCAAAAACAATTCCGAAACCTGCCTTCATTCAGAAATTCTCAACAAGACTGACTGGACATTTTTCATAAAAGTAGAGAAAAAGGGAGAATCTTTACCTCATGACTGCTGTGCTCGTCATCTGAGAGACAGTGCTTCAGGCTCCTGTCGTCTTTAGAAACCTTCCTTCTCAGCCAGCCTCAGACAAGTGTTTAAAAGACCAGTGTACGAGAGCCTCAATGGGCCACTGTGAGTGCTGTCTTTGTGTTGTGGGAAACAGAAACTGAAACTGGAAAGTGAAACCAATAGGATCCTCGAGGAAATGAATCTTGAGTAAGATGAGTGAGTCAGAATTTTCTCTCAGAGAATTTCTTGATGTCAAGGGACCCCAACTCAGAGAACCTTTGTCTCATACTGTGTTAGGGCGCGGATCGTGATCTCCCTTTAACGACAAAGAAACTCCAGAGACTGCAAACAGCAAGCAAGGTTTATTGTAAGACTGGCTAGCCAGGGTCAAGCCGCCTACACAGACACGCAGGTCAGTTAGGTGAGGCAAGACCCCGAACCTCTTCAAAGGGGATCTTATATAGGCCTTCACTGACCGTTACAGCAAAGTCCGCGCATTTCATAGCCAATAGATTTGTAACAACATATGCTTTCCTAACCAATCCAATTAAGGGTACATCACTTCTTAGCCTATAGTTTAAAGATCAGCATTTTGCGTCGGTGCTCAGGAACTGACAGGTTTTTAAGGCAGTCCTGGGTCTTGCAACATGGGTCTTGTGAGAGACATCCGGTTATCTGGTTTGACCCCCACCCTTGAGTACCTGTATCTGAAATCCTTGCTCAGGGGCAGAAAAACCAGTTATTTTGCAGGGCAGGCTCCTATAAAGCGGATCTGAAAAAGCTTATCTAGACCTGTTCCTTGAAAAACAAGTTCTTTTGCAATGCAGGTTCCTATTAAGCTAAGCTAAATTAATTCTGGTGGTAGTCCATTTTGGGCCTGTCCCTTACAACTGTAGTATCTGGCAGTTCTCTCTACTTTACCTCATCACCAAGGGGACCAGCAGACTCTACAGAGCAGTTCCATAAACTCCCCCAAGGCACACAATTGTTTGTTCCATTCACTGCTGAATCTCTAGTCTCTGCAGCTGTATCTCACCCCTGGCTAACATACAGAAAGTAAAGAAGCCGTGGTAAGTATACACTGTACAATCTTACTCAGTTATAAGAAATATGAAACCCTACCATTTGCAATTCCAGGGATGGACCAAAGAGTGTTACATTTAATAAAATATTAGTCAGATGGAGAAAGACAAGCTCCCAAATTCCCCAACGCTCAGGACTTAATGACATAAGGTGCTGCAGAAGTGTGTGTGTGTGTGTGTGTGTGTGTGTGTGTTGTGGAAGGGTCTTATGGTAGAAGGCCATAAATAATGCCTTAAATATTTACAAGTCAAGAACTTCTAGAGATGGAGAGCATTCTTTGCAGCACATAAGGTCCTCCAAGCATTGCCAGAAGCAACTTCTGAGCAGAGCCAGGAACTGAGCATAGCTGGTGTGGCCACAAAACAAAACAAAGCCTTCTAATACAAGCACCTTACTTAAGGACATAGCAACAACAAGACAGTTACCAAATGAGTTGCAAATGGTAGCCTATGGGAAGGGAAAATGAGGAGGGATGGAGAGGACCTGGTTGTTTTTCCCAACTTGTGGATCTCATTGACTATTTAAATGAAGTTAATATATAAGTTTAATTGAACAATAAGAAGGACTGAGAGAGTGAGAGCTGGTGAAGAAGGGCATGAGAAAGAGAAAAATGAAAGGTTAGTTGAGCAGAATGGGGAAGAGAAAGGAGGGAAAGAAAGGAAGGACAAAGGAGAGAAGAAAAAGTAAAAAGGTAGGAAAGCAAGGAAGGAAGGAGAGAGAAAACAAGAGGAAAGAAGATAGAGAAGCTTGGTGCATCCATATTTTGCAACATTACTATGAAGCTATCAATAATTTGCTATTAAAATGTTTACTAACAGAAAAAATATAATGTGAAGTGAACATAGAAGTAGACTGTCACTGTCACTGTCCTCCCTTTGTTCATCGATTTGCTCGAGCAGGCCCAGTAACGTCTCCATTGTGACACTTGTTACTGTGTTTGGCATATCGAATACATCACAGGGAGCTTGCCAGACTTTGCCGTGCAGGCAAGATACTCTTGGTAGCTTGCCAAGCTCTCCGAGAGGGGCGGAGGTATCGAACCCTGGTTGACCAGGTCCGCCGCATCCAAGACAAATGCCCTACCTGCTGTGCTATTGCTCCAGTTCCAGAAGTAGACACTATATGTAATATGCACTTTAAATTTTGATAAACTGGGCCCTGAGCAGGTAGGGCATTTGCCTTACCAGCTCTGAGTTTGATCCCCCGAATCCCACATGGTCCCTGAGGACCATCAGGGGTAATTCCTGATGCTGTGCTACAAGTATTCCTTGAGTATCACCAGGTGTCACCCCCAAACGAAAACAAAGAATTTGATAAACTTCCCCCAAGTCTGTCTTATAAAGATATCAGATATTGAAATATTTTCTTTCTTGTTGCTGAGATTACAAACAATGTGAGTTTCCTTCTTTCAGTAGATAGCATATCATCCTGAGAGACACACTATTGTGTCTGTGCTTGAAATCTGAGGAGTCCAGTGCCACTCTAGGAAGCTGGTGTAGCAGACAGAAGGCGCAGGAGGAGACCAGATGGGAGCCAGCCTGGCAGCAGCTTGAGCCATGAAACGTTTCGGCTTCATTTCAACATTGACATCTCCTACCAGGAGTGGAGGCTTAGATGTTGAGTCTGCAGAGCACTTGGTCCTGTAAAGGGAACAATCTCTGCTCCCTCAAGTGAGGGGTGACTCAGAGACCTGCTCTTTCTATCCATTCTATGGCCTTTGGATCCCTTTAGCTGCTCAATTAGGTAAAGGCCCTCCCGTTGTTCATCGATTTGCTCGAGCGGGCCCAGTAACGTCTCCATTGGAGACTTTGTTGTTACTGTGTCTGGCATATCGAATACGTCACGGGGAGCTTGCCAGGCTCTGCCGTGCGGGTGAGATACTCTCGGTAGCTTGCCGGGCTCTCTGAGAGGGGCGGAGGAATCGAACTCGGGTCGGCCATGTTGGCTGCATGCAAGGCAAACGCCCTACCGCTGTGCTATTGCTCCAGCCCATATAAAAAATGAAAAAAAAAAAGTAATTAACCTCGGGCTCCTAATTTTTCCTCTTAAATGCAAAACAGAAAGGTCAAAGTCTTGAAAGAACATTGGCATCCTTAAGGGATGAAAACTGGCCTGCTGTGGAATGAAATCAATTTGTCTTCCTCTGTCCCTACTTCCTGCTGCTGCTCCTTCCCTGCCCTGCTGATGGCTCTTTTCTGGTTAGGATTTTAAAGATTTCCACCAGGGAGAATCTGTGGAAGCAATAGAATTTTAGATTCTGAAACAATTATTATCTGGATTAATTCAAATTCAGTTTAGGCAGTTGCTGAAATATAGAATTTAAGAAAAATCTGCCTTGGAATCTTCAAAGGTGCTCGGCACAATTTTAAGGAATCCGTGCAAGGAAAACTGTAAATTCATGATCTTAGGGCTGAGTGCTTCCAGCTATTCTTAGGTGCTCTGGGAATAGCTGATTCTGAAAGAGAAAGCCTCAGTTTTTCCCAGTGAGTCACTGTTTTCTCTCTCCAGATGTTCCATTTCTTGCCCATCAACATGACACACCTGCAAGGTTCTGTCAGCGTTCCCGGGGCTTCCCAGGAACATGAAACTCTGCCCTGGACTTTAGGTTGACAAGAAAACTAAGATAATGGGAAATCCTGGAACCTGGGCTAATAGAGAAAGTGAGGTAATTGGTAATTAGGACTGGAAGGTTTGTTTCTCCTTGCCAGGGAAGAAGGAAGCCTCAGATTCCCCTAGCCACCTTTGCCCCCATTGATCTGGCACATTTCATTCCCAAAGCCCTGCCCCAGTGGTCAGGGATTTCCAGGACCATAAAACTCTGTCCTGGAGACTAAGCCAACAGGGAGACAAATATGAGGGGCAAAAGTGCCCAGAGATGTTTAGACCAGTTAGACATCCTTGCAATTTTCTGGCATATTTTGTAAATCTTTGTCAACTGATAAGGAATGCAAGAGGCCTTTAAAAGGGCCCCCACAAAACTCACTTTTAACTCAGACCTATACTAAGTTCCTCCCTACTTGGGGAGCTTCTTTTCTTTTCTCTTTTACTTTCCAATAATCTTTTCTACTTTCCAACTCTGAGTCTGAGCATCTTTATTATTCAATATTTTCATTCTTGAGAATTTTGACGAACCTGTGAATCACGAATGAACCTACACCTGCTGTGAGCCCTTCTACCTCTTCTGCATCAATTCTGCTCAGAGATTCCCCTGAGATGCCTGCAGGTTCCTGGGCCAGGAAACCTGTGGTTGTAGATAAAGGATGCCTTTGTGAAATCTGGAAATCTGGAATAAAACATTTCCTTAGAACCCACCTAACTTTCAGATCTGCAGGTTTCCAGTTCAGGATAAGAAGGAAACCAGGAGGTCTTTATCTCTCTGACTTGGAATTCAACGGGGACAAAATGTTTTATTTTAATTATTTATGCTTTGGTGTTTGGGGGTCACATCCAGTGGTGCTCAGGGTTTATTCCTGGCTCTGTGCTCAGGGATCACTCCTGGCTGCACTCAGGGACCATTTCGGGTGTCGGAGTACTAACGAATGTACTATGTATCTTCAGCCTCCATGGGACAAATATTTTAGAGGAGAGTGTATATGGATGCTCACCAGGGAGTGACATTTACAAGCCAGGATCAGGATGTAGCAGGGCAGCAAAAAGATCCAGCTGAACCTGGAATTGGGTGTCTCCTGAGAGGCTGTTGTTACTAGTGGGAAGAGTGGAGAGCCAGGTGCAGGGAGCAGGAAGGGAGAATGTGACTGTCCTTCTTAGCCACTGTGACCTCTGCTGGTAGTCCAGGAGTGTGCACAGGCAACTACATGGTGGAGACACTGAGGCCCAATGGCTCATGAGGCATCATCAGGCTACAGTGAATTGTACACAATTGTACAATTGTGAATTGTATCAGACTCTTGAATTGCACACAATGGGAGTTTATTTCTAATGCTAGAGTTTGGGGGAGAGCCATGGGTTCTCAGGTTGCGCTGAGAATTTGATCTTCTCAGGAAAAGGAAAGTCAGTCCCT